AATGTCAAGTTACACATAAAAAACTTTATCAAGCAAAATAGAAATAATGGTGTGAAAAACAATTCTATTTGGGGGAAGCTTAGTTACAAATGCAGCTATTTAACTCATTTCAGAGGGCATCCATTTATAAACATGAGATGAAGCACACAGACAAGACAGACAGACAGACAGGGAAGTTGCGTAATGAAGGAAGGAAGGAAGTTATGTAATAAAGTAATAAAGTATAAAGAAATGGGTTCCTCGCAAACAAAGAAAAATTTTCATGTATGTATATTTATTTATTTATTTATTTTCCGATTTGTATCCTGCCTTTTTCCTACAAAGGGCTCAAGGCAGCTTACATCATTCTCCTCCTCCATCTTATCCCCACAACAACAACCCTGTGAGGTAGGTTGGGCTGAGAGTCTGTGACTGGCCCAAGGTCACCCAGTTGGCTCCATGGCTGAGCGGGGACTCGAACCCAGATCGTCTGAGTCCCAGTCCCATGCTCTTAACCACTGCACCACACTGGCTCTGGTATATATTGATTAGGGGCATATACAATTCATAAAAATGTATGTTTCCTTTCATGAAAACCTTCTGTTTTCTAAAGTTCATGGAAGTGAACATTCAGAATTAAATGCTGTGCATTTTGACATATCTATTATGATAAGAGGAATGAATTTAGCATTCTTACACTTACGGGAATAAATACCTTCTTTCTATGCTTTTGACCATTAAGTCCTATTTCTGACATCCTATACTTTTATAGTCACTGGAGGAGCTACACAATTCAGCAGAAGTTCTGCTACACTGGCAGATGTAACATCACCTTGGATAACATTTTTTTTTAATGGGTGGTGGATGGAAGTCGCTTTTAATAGTCCAAAGTGGTTCAGTCAATTTATCTTTAGGCTGCAAGATTAGATCCTCTTATCTGAGAGAAAACCCAACTGAATTCAGTGGGAATTACTTCTGAGTAAGTATGCCTAGGATTGTAGTGTGAATTATTGCTCCAGTACTGCGCCTCACAATTCCTCAGCTGCAGAGAAATCAATAAGCCAGCAACCAGCCATCCGTAATAAAAATTGTCTTCAGACAACCAAGCCAGGAAATTTTATAAACACAGTTTCTTTTTTCCTCTGTTTAAGCTTCACAAATTAATAACACATGTATGTATAGATAAATGAGCTAGTACGGAATTTTGTCAACTAGTAGATTTGTGGGCTTATATGCAAGATAGATATTTATTTATTTCAAGCATGCATATCTATCTACTTTTCTGCTAAAACAACTCCCCCCATGAAAATGTCAAGGTGGCTCACAGAAACAAAATGAAATCCTGACAAAATCCTACAGTATAACAGAAAAGAAGCAATAGAAGAGATCATATCAGCCATCAAACGCTTGAGACTAAAACCATTGTAACCATGAGCCTCTACACTGCTTTTATACAGAGCAGGGCCTTAATGTTTTCATCCCTGGTCCCTCCACATGGTCTGATGATACAAAGCAACAACTGTGATGAAGTTAAGCAGGTTAGAATCTTCCTGGGGACATCATGTACATCCCTTTAGCTCAGTCATGGAAGACTGGAGGGACTGTCTGTCTGTCCATCCACACTACAGCATTAAAGCCATGAGGCCATGTGAGACTTGCTGTGTGTCCCCAATCAGACTTCTACCCCTCTTCCAAGCAAATCTCCCCCTTTTCCTAGCTAAATGCCTTCATTATGTTACAATGCAATAGACCAGCTAGGCTGGCTTTGTAGCACAAAGAGTATTGCAGAAGTCAACAATAGAAGAAACATGAAAAGGTAGAATACTGGCCATTAGGGGGAAATGCAGCTTAATGGTATCAAGTTGATTCTACATAGAACACTGCTCCTCCTTTGCAGACCAAAAGGAGTGGGCTCCCCTTTGGGATGGATCCTGCTGCTTATGAGCCAGTCTCCTGGAACACTGGGAATACCGCATCTTAAGAGATCTGAGCCTCACCTCCACTTCTTAGTCCTACTAGACCAGTGGTGGCGAACCTATGGCACATGTGCCACAGCAGGCACGCAGAGCCCTCTCTGTCGGCACGTGAGTCAAGTCGCCCCAGCATCTCCCCAGCGGCCGAGCAATGGATAACAGAGCACATAGGAGCCATGCACATGCTTGGAAAGGAGAAGCAGCGCCTGGCGATGACATCATGAGCCGCGATTCATCAGCTGCAACTCGTCTGAGCTTTCACATGGCTGGTCAGTGCGCTGCCAAGGATATATATATTTGCTTGGACTGGCTGTGAGTTGTTTTTTCTAAACTAAAACATCAGTTTTCAGGTTTTATTGCAGTGTTGGCACTTTGTGATAAATAAGTGGGTTTTGGGTTGCAGTTTGGGCACTCGGTCTCTAAAAGGTTTGCCATCACTGTACTAGGGCATCTTTCCAGAGAGACTTTTGCATGATGGCTGGTCTGAGAGGTAACTTTGATGGAACTTGGCAGTTACTAAGCTAAGAAAGACTAAGCTCCCCCCGCCCTTTGTTTTTTGGCCTGCTTGGCTTCCCCATGAGAATACTAATGTTCTGCTAGACCCAAATCCCTTCGTGCTCCATATATTGAAGGGCCACGGCTCATTGTCTTTGAGCAGAAGTTCATTCCAAACTTCAAATCCTTTCATTAAAAAAACAAATTACATTAAGAGCTAAGCCTTGATTTTCAATTTTGTCTTTTTATGACTGGCGTAAAAAAAATTAAATTAATCTCACGCTTGGATATATATTGTACTGAAAGTTTTAATCAACCCTCTCTGAAGGGAAGAAAAATCAAATAGTCCTAGCAATCACTTTACAATCTTGTTCGAAGCATTTTCTGTTTTCCCATTATGTAGTTATATTTAACACTGTGCCGCTCCCAATGCTTGTACTCCATCTATTTGTCACTTGGCACATATCTTATTTAAATCCTTCGACAGCACCGTCACCATGTTATTTACTGTGCAGGAGAATTTTCCAGGGCTACTAAGAACAGTTATGAACTGAACGCTCCCATGGAATGGAAGTCTGGTATGATTAACACTGCTCTCTCATTATCTCCTCAAGTGTACTTATGCAATTAATTAATTCATCCCACCACCACAGTTAGAATTGTAGAAGTACCCCATTCTCCTCAGCTGACTTGCCATTTCTAAACTCCCGTAAGTGCTCCCTATATAACCAGGAGGGATTTCCTGGTGGGGAGGAGGGCACTCAACAGTATGAGCGTCATTCAGCTACCGACAGAAACAGACATTGCCATGTGTCCCAACCACAATAACACCCAGGTTTGGGGTGGATCCAAAAGGTAGATCTGGATCTATCGGCAGATCTGTTGTGCCAAAAGATCAGCAAGGAGTTTTGACCTCTAGTTTTATCTCTCAGCAGCCCCAGCAAATAGGCTCAGCTGAGAGTAAGTCATCCTGTGAGACTGATGGCTACGTGGGAATTTATACCTGTATATCCAGTGTCATATTTATTTATTTAAAGTTTTTGTATGCCATCCCCTTGCTATATAACCTCATACTCCCAACACTCTAACCAAGCCTCCATCAACCTGGTACCACCCAGATGTTTTGGGCTATGACTCCTGCATCCTTGACCATTAATCATGTTAGCTGGGGCTGATAGGAGTTGAAGGCTTGAAAAATCTGGAGAACATCAGGCTGGGGAAGGCAACTCCAACTAGAAGGTATCTGGCATCAAACAAAGGGTGGCTATTCAGAACACAATCCTCTATTTGAAGCCATCCCCTGTTGGAAAGGTTGGCTGGTCCAAGTCCAGTTTAAAGTTAAAGAACTAGAAGCTAGAAACGAAGAGAGCTGGTGCCATGAAAAGCCCAGCCACAGTTGGCCTGAGAGGCCATAGAAGACCTAACAGCAGGTATAAAAGTCAAAAAAAGAGAAGACATGAACTGCAGAATAAAGTAGGAGGGGAGCAACTCAGGAGAGAAGATATTCTCATGCACCTAAAAGAGACTAGAAGGTTATTTCATTTCTCAAGAGCCATTCATTTTTTCCAAGTATACAGTGAAAAACTTAATGGATACTTGCTTGCTCTGTAGTTTAAAACAGAGGGAGCATCAGTAACTTTTTTCAGAATATACACAGAAATACAAGCAAACCTTGGGAAAAGAAATACGGTTCCAAAATGCATAGAGCTTATTAACGCTTCTTCAACCATTAACAAATATTGGTGCCTAAGGTCAATAATGGATGAGGGAAAACAAATTTCAGTTTACTCTTGCAAGCCAGAAGTACTTCTGTTTAAATAGGGGGAGAAATGGGGATTTAACCTGTGATGAATGGGGTTACACACGCCTTAAGACTCAGGTTCACTGTCTGAATCTACCTTTGGGCTCGGCTTTAAACCTAGCTGCTTAGCTTTTGGTGGGTTATGGGAGTGTGTTTGCACAACTGAGACTAGAAGGTCACCTGTATTCATCCCATAGATGTAATGATCGGGCAGTAATCATGTCCCCTTTGACTACCATAATGTGCTCTACTTGTGTCTCCCTTTGAAAACAATTCAGATACTTCAGCTGGTGCAGAATGCTGCCACCAAACTGTTGATCGGGGCAGGTAACACAGAGCACACCACCCCCTTGTTACAGCAGCTGGTCAGTTTCCAGGCAGAGTTCCACATACTAGTTCTGGCCTAAAAAGTCTTATACAGACTGCAACCAGGATACATGAAAAACCACCTTCTTTCACACCAACCGTTTTGGAGAGGCCCATCTGTTGGCACAATTACCTTCCCAGAAACATGGTGGCAACACGAGAACAGCCTCCTTGGTGGCCACTGCCTGGCTGTGGAACTTGGCTCCCATGTTATTTGGACTAACACTGGATACATCCTACTGTCAGTCTTTCTAAATTGGTGTCTGCATCAGTCCATTAGCATATACAAATTACTGCCCTTGCTTGGAGTGATGCATTTTCCGTTTTTGGGTGACACACAGGTGGCCACCTGAATCCAGGTACCGTCGTGCACAGCCCACACTCACCTGGTGCAGACAAGGCTTCTTCCCTGACATCATTCTCAGCAGGCTGATGGATGTTCCAGGGAGTCAGCGGGAGGCAGGCAATTTCTTCATAGGAGGCCAACTTCACCATGTCCATGTGGTTGCCTCCAGGCTTGTACCGTGGAATGAAGCATTCTTTGCCTTGCTGAAAAATGTCCTTAATGATTTCATCTGTCTGGACTTCATCTGGCATGCTCAGGAAAACTGCAATGCGCTGGGATGCAAGGAACTGAGAATGCCCCATCACCTGGTATGTGTTTTTTATGAGGTGGGGCGGGGGGGGGGGGGAGAGAGTTTGTGATCAGAATGTATGAAAATGAAAAAGAACACAGCATTTGTTTCAAACCCACCTTCTCCACACTGGCTGCTAAAAAATACAAGGTTCTTTTTCTGGTTTGGCTTCTTGGTTGCCTTGTTTGACTTACAATTCATTACAAGTTGGAAAAAATAGGATATAGGCATATTCCAGTTAATAAATGTTCCTGCTGCTGAAGATTTATCTCTCTCTCACTTTATTACAGAAAAGTGCAACCTGCTCTTCTTTCAAGGAGCTGAAAACAAGGGAGTTTTCTTTCCCAGTTGGCTTCCCAAGCAGGTATGCAGATCTTTTTAATTTCAGGCCCTTTTCTAGTTTCTGGTTCAAAACAACACAACACAACATTTATGTACATCTGAGGCTGAAAACCTGTCACTGGAGCCTACTAGTTTTGTACTTCTAGCTCCCTGCAAATCCCAGCTTGATAAACTGAAAGTCAAGTTTGGGGATATGAATTTTCTCTTCTCCCCCACCTGCTCCAGATTAATTTCTTCTTCCCTTTAATCATGGCTTCACATTGTACATAAACCTAGTGATGGAGAGCTTTTCTACAGCTTCCCTTTCCTGATTTTCTACTACATTATGTCTAGGTGATGCTCTGCTATAGTGGACTAGTGCAACAGCACAAGTAAGAAAATACCAGAAATACTAGTGTATTTGGTCATTCTAAGCATAGCCTAGGAAAACACTCTTTGAAAACAGAAGCAAAACCAGAGGATCAGAACTCATAAACAATTGTGAGAAATCAGGAATGTGAGAAATCAGGAATGAGAAATCAGATATTTCCTAATCTACACAAGGAAATATCTTGTGTAGAAAAGTGCTCGGTAACCTGACTTCACAAATGTACTTCAAATCATGATTATAGTCTCTGGTTTACAAGGGCTCCGTACTTTTCATCAGGGCATCCATCCATGGCTGACCTCAGAAAGATAGCATGGGAAATCGTTCCAGAAAGGGAAAGAGTGTAAGCCCTGAAGGCCTTCTCGTGATCTGCATGTCATGGCTTGGAAATGAGGGGGCCTGCCTAGGACCACTGTAAGCTAGAGGCTAGTACCATGAGTGCCTTGGATGCCACCCAAAATTTCCTTCCCCACAGAGCTTCAGTACCAGGCAGTGGTCAATTCTAACATGCATGTTTGAATCAGTTTGCATCTAAATTAAATGTACTCCGAAACCAAGTAACCAAAAGTCCCAGAAAATACAGAGCACTTCTGGAATGGCGGAAGACACATGCAGTGGAAACTTCCACAGCCATGCAGCCACTGTGAATCACACTGAAAACTGTGCCAAAGATTGCAAAACAAAAAGGTTCTTGCTGTTTTGGATCAGCGAATGAGTATTAGTGCAGAATCAGAGCATGCAAACCAGCAGGATTCCAAGCACTGAAGCAAATGTTAAGCAAGAAAAGCCATACAAAAACTAATTAAACACCACTGGGGAGGTCAAAGCATTCTACAGTTTTGTTTTGTTTTTTAAATTTCAAACTATGTACTTAAACCATGGTGTTCAAAATCACAATTCTCCCCTCCATCACTGTTCAGTTTCCCAGCTTTTCAATACATGGATACTTTTCTGACACATTTTTCCAAAAACTACAGTCTCCTGTTCTTTTCACAGACACATCTTGCTAAATGTGTGGAACCCAGGTGGGGAAGTCTTCCCTTCTCAAGGCTGAACATGCCCAGTTCTCTGTCTCTTCTCATAGGGCAGTGTTTCCAAACCCTGGATCATTTTGTCACCCTCTTCTGGACCCTTTCTAATTTACCGGCATCTTTCTTAAATCTTGGTGCCCAGAATTGGAAACAGAATTCCAGGTGAGGTCTGACTAGTGAGGAGTATAGAGGAACTACTACTTCTCCTGATTTGAAGTTAATACTTCTGTTAATGCATCCCAAAATAGCATTTGCTCTTTCGGCAGCTGCATCACATTGTTGGCTCATGTTTAGCCTATTGTCTACAATTACTTTGAGATCTTTTTCTTTTTCACTTCTGTTGAGCCACATATTCTCCATCTTGTATCAATGCACTTGGGTTTCTTTTTCCTAGCTGGAAGACTTGGCACTTGTCCTTATTGAATCTCATTCTGTTGCTTTCAGCCCAGTGTTCAAGTTTATCAAGATCACCCTGGATCTTCGTTCTGTCTTCTAGGGTGTTTGCTATTCCACCCAGTTTTGTATCATCTGCAAATCTGATTATCTTTCCTGTTCTAGTGAGCTAGTGAGGTGGCTGCTTGTGCCTGTCCCACACACCTCTGAGATCCAGGAAAGTTCCTTCCTGTACTCACCTAATCTCCAACACCAGAAGAGGGCAACTTGGGGTCCTCCAGATAGCCTACAGCTCTTATAAGCCCTAGCCAGCTTAGCCAATAGTGAGGAAGGATGTGAGTCGTAGGCCAACAACTGGAGTGCTGCAGGTAGCACACCTCTGGAGTTCACAAACCTTAGGAAGCCAGGTGCCCTATACCACCAAGGGGCAGCAGCACAATGGTAAAGTGATGTCGAGATAAACAAAAGATGTGAACACTATCTCTGCACTGAATATGTCAGGAATGAATTTTTGACACTTTCCAACAAAACAACACAACAATTATTGCACATTTAAAAAGACTATGATACTTAAAACAACAGCAACAACAGATATGGTAAACAAGAAATAGGAACGTTTGATATGTGTTTTGGAGGGTGTCATTTACCATATTATGACCTTGCAAGTCACTGGCCTGTACACAATCATAGAAGAGAAACTACTACTGGAAATTCTTCCCTTGTATTTACATAAGGCTGCTGAGTTCCAAGAACTGGTGTTTTTGGCTCCATGAACCGAAATTTACTCTCCTAGCCGCAAATTTGAGCAGGAACTGTGTGGGGGTGGGTTGTAGTTATTTTTTAGAGACTTGTGGGTGGGAAATTTGGGTCAGAGGATGCTAGTGTACAGCCCCAGCAATGATCTCACCCTTTCTCCCATGATTCTTTTCTAGGGGTCGTGACCCATTTGCAGCTTGAAACCATAGCTGGAAAGGTGGTGGATTAGTTCAGAAACATTTGTTCCCCTAATACAAATTAAGACAACCCCGCAGACATAGATACCTTAACCTCTGAACTCCTGAACACATAGGAGAGCTAGGGCGGAGGGTCCATCATCCCCTCCTCTTAAGCCTTTTCTTGTTTTGTTCCGCTGGCACTCTCGGTGCTCTGTGGCTGCTGAAGGACATCAGGCATGTTCAGCCCTCTTCAGACTATTTGTAGACCTTTTTAAAAAAATACCACAAACTAATCTTTGTCTGCACACTTGGGGAATCCCCCGAAGTTCCTAATATATGCCCAGCCGCCCCCTGAAAGAAGTTAGGAGGGTGGTTACTCCCCAGAGAGGTCCGCCTGGCGCCGTCGTTATTTGCTTTTCGGCGCCAGGCGAAGACCTTTTTATTTAAGCAGCATTTTAAATGTTAATATTATTGAATTTTATCTGGACAGGGCGGCTTATTTTATATTGTATATTTGTATTTTATTTTAATGTATATATTTTAAAATGTTATTTATGATGTTTTAATTTATTGTTGTAAGCCGCCCCGAGGCTTCGGCGAATGGGGCGGCATAAAAATGTTTTAATAAATAAATAAATAAATATGCCTCATTTCACTGCCCAGCTAATTGCCACAAAACCTGCAAATCTGCTATTCAAAAGAACAAGATGTTGCAGTTTTGAGTTCTAGTTCCAGACACGTCATTCTGTTCTTCCACACCACAGCAGTCATTTAGTATTCCACAGCCACTGATTTGGGTTTTCCACAGCGTTATGGCTTCCTCCCTTTATGTTTGTTTTTTTCCCCACATTTTAACAAATTTTCTGTGACATGCTTGAGTGGCTGGGTCTTGGCTACATAGATAATAGCACCTTCAGATATAGGAGTGAATTATAGTAAACGTTTATGACCTAACTAATTCTTCCTCACAGCTTACTTATTAGATTTATATTCTGCCTTTTTCTTTTTTTAAAGAACTCAAAGTGGCTTACATTATTCTCCTCTGGCTACCCTCCATCTTATCCCCACAACAACAACCCTGTGGTGGAGGTTGGGCTGAGAATCTGTGACTGGCCCCAAGTCACCCAGTTGGCTCCATGGCTAAGCGGGGACGAGAACCCAGACTGACTGAGTCCCAGTCCCACACTCTTAACCACTACGCCACACTCACTTCACTGATTATTCTTTTGGAGGCTACTTTACAGCACCATTTTAGAATGCTGATGGCAGAAGAAAAGGAAGGCCACCTAGGAGATGGATTGGCTCTTAGGAAGCCACAGCCTTGAGCTTAGAACAGCTAAGCAGGGAAGTCACGGGTAGAACATTTTGGAGGGCTTTGGGGTATCCACAAGAGGGAGATGACTTGACAGCACAAAAGAAATGCAGGGGAAAACCAGTCTCCACCTTTGAAAGGGGGAGAGAGAAGTGAGAGGGAGCACTGAAGAGAACGCCATTATGCTGCCTCATTCAAGTTCAAAACTTTGTGTCATTTATGTTCCCCCTGGAAGGGGTAGCGTGTAAATAAAGAGGAGGTGGCCTTTCCGCATCCACCGAATTCTTTCCCGGAACCGCTTACTCGTTCCAGCTCATTTCCCTGCCTTTCTGCACGGCGTAGAGAGCGGGGGAGAGAAGCGAGGTGGCGCAACGGCTGCAGACCCGTTTACGAGCCTCCGAGTGGCGGACGAGCAGTCTGCTTCAGGCCCCATCCCGCTTTCCCTCCTCCCTTCCCAAGGGTAAGACTATTGCCACGCTCCCATAGGAGCGGCAGCGCGCCCCACGAGCTCGTGGGCAAAGGGGGCGTCCCTAGCCCCTCTCCGCCACCCACGCGTGCCCCGGGAACCGGGCGTCACCGACCTCACTTCCGCACGCCGAAATCCCCTGACGTCACCAGCGGCGCTCAAGGGCCCGGGGGCCTCCCGGGTGGAAGTGGCGGGCTGCGCCTGGCGGGGCCGGGAGTGCGCGGGCGGCCTTCGGTCTCTGCGCCTCGCCGAGTCCCGCGGGGAATTTCGCTGGCAGCAGGCCTTGGCTCGGGGGTGGCAGGGAGGGGCCCTGGGGAGGCCCGAAGGAAGCCCGGCGAGACCTCCGCAGCCCCTCGAGCGGGGATTCCCGGGCGGGAGGCCGGGCGGCGGCCGCGCTGGAGCCGCGGCTGCCGCCCAGAAACAACGAGACAGCGGGGGCGTCGCTCGCCCGCCCCCGGCCGCCCACTCACCCTAGCGCGCAGCATGCGCGACTGGCGCAGCTTCTCCGCCTCGCTCAGCGCTTTCAGGCGCTGCTTGAGCTCCGCTCGCAGGGCTCGCTTGGCAGTGTGCAGGGCGGCCATGCTGCCCTGGAGCTCCGCGCCCGCCCCGCAGCTCTCCATGCGCACGGGCGCGCCGGGTCCACCTCCTCGGAAAGGCGCCTTGGCTCCGTCCGTGACGCGTACGGAGCGGGGCGGCTGCGGGGACCTGAGCCCGAGCGGGCGCTCGTCCTCCGCCGCCGCGAACTGGCCCCTTGCCTCCCTCAGCCTCGGGGAAAGAGGAGAGATGCCAGAGCAGAGGACGACCCTCCCCTCTCCCCCGAAGGCCAAGGACAACTTGGTTATTTATTTCCTGACATCGTTTGATCCATCGATGGGCAGTTTGTGTGCCTTTTGTCAGGAAGGCTTTCCGGGCCGCTGAGGACAAATATAGCAATGAAGCAAGACAAATAGCAGGAAAAAACTCCCGCAGAAAGTAGTTTCTGCTGGTAAAATTCAGCAGAATTGGTAAAATGAGACCCGCATTTAGCAAAGGACTGCTCTGGCTCCAAAATGACTTCTTTCCGTTTAAAGGAATGTCCCGGGAAGTTTCCATACAAATATTAAAACCAATGCAATACTTTAGTGTAGCTTAGGATGCAATCCTATACATGATCAGAACAAGCATAGGATTCAGGCTTTAGTGCTTAAAAGTCTTAGACTTGGGGGAACTGGGTTTGAGTCCCAGCTCAGCCACAGAGTTCATTGGGTGGTTCAGGCTTATTGCTGACTCTCAGCCTAATCGACCGCACACGGTCTTCACAAACTAGAGAAGAGTACAAATAAATAATTGGAATCATGAAATGATTCTCGGATGGGAGAGGGGGCAGCAAGAGCAGCAGCACACAGACATTAAAAGGAGAGGAAACATACCTACTGACTGTAATGATCAAAACTTGATAAAAGGCCTTGAAAAATACTTCCACAAAACAAGGCACCTCAAATAAGGGGCTGTTGCATGCACTTAGTATATTGTTTTCCCTGCCTTCCTTGAAAGCATATGGCTCTTTTTGGCACCATGTAATAGCTCAGGCTGAGAGACAGAAGCTGGGTTTATAATTCACGACAAGCAACCCTGCTTGGTTGCCGGTGGTTCACGGTTTTTTACCTTGATGGGAAGCCCCCTCCCACCAGCACCCCTTCCCTCTCAGTCCTCCAGACAGATTCCCAGGAGACATACGTACCATGGGGAGGAACGAGGCCTCTCTCTTTGGCAGCCACAGTTGCAAGGTGCGTTGGGCTCACTGCCCATTTCAAGCTCTCTCTGCTGTGCAAATAGGGCTCGTACCTGTCCTGAGGTGCAGCCGAAAGGATGAGGGCATTGATTATGTATCTTTGCCTCCTGATCCAGAGGGATCGGGGTTTTGAGACCAGGCATTAGAGGTACTGCAGGGGCTGGCAGGACTCCTACAAAGAGGGGGCCAGTATCAGGGAAGATGGGAGGGAGGAGGAGGCTGGGGGTCCCAAAGAAAGGGTTCTGTGGGAAAGAGCTGAGATGTATGTACACCAGTGCTAGGAGCATGGGTAATAAGCAAGAAGAGCTTGAGGCTCTCCTGGGAATAGGAGAGTATGACCTGGTGGGCATCACAGAAACTTGGTGGGATGACAGGCAAGACAGGAATGTAAACATAGAGGGGCATCACTTATTTAGAAAGGACAGGGAGGGAAAGAGAGGAGGGGGAGTAGCATTATATGTCAGGGAAGGGATAGGATGCAATGAGACAGAAGGTGGCACGGATGGGGATCTGGTAGAGACCAGTCTGGGTGAAACTAATGGGTTTTGACAGGTTTTGACGGGGAGGGACCTGACAGTGGGGGTATGTTATTGCCCTCCAGTTCAACTTGAGACCCCGGACAATGTCCTGACAGACCAGATTCAAAGGATATCTCGGGGGAAGGACTCAGTAATTCTGCAATTACTGTAAATGTAACACAGTCTTCCAGATATTAGTTGGGAGACTCACTCGATGGTGATGGCCAGGTCATGTCACTTCCTAAATGCTACAGAGGGAGGGTTTTTCACGCAGAGGGTCCAGGAGGTGACGACGGGGCGGGGGGGGGGGGATACCCTTGACTTGGTCTTGACCAACAGGGAGGAGCTGATAGATTGGCTTCAGATGAGGAGAGCTCTGGGTGCGAGTGATCACTCTATCCTTTGCTTTGAGATCAGGGGAATGGGGATGTGCAGCAGCTTGAGTACTAGAAGCTGGGCCAACTTTGGCCAATTGAAGGCCAGACAGGAGAAAGTCTCCTGGGATAGGTTAGGGAATATCTATGGAAGGAAATCTCCTTGGAAAGCAAGGGAATTCAGGAGGGGTGGATGGCACTCAAAAGGAAGGACTTGGAGGCACAACCCTTGACGATACCACTAGTTATTAAGGCAGGGAGGTGAAGGAGAATGCCACCATGGTTGCGAAAGGAGGTGGTAAGAGGGATTAGGCATAAGAGGACCCTCCATAGGAAATGGACACTGGGGCAAGTAGACCAAAGGGTATACCAGGAGGAGGAGGCCCGTTGCAGAAGGATTCTTTGCAAGGCTAAGGCTGATTATGAGATGAGACTTGCAAAGAATATCAGGAGCAACAAGACGGGCTTCTATCAACATGTAAACAGCAACAGGAAGGGGAGACAGGCAATGGGACCGCTTAATAAGGAGGAAGGGGATTCAGTGACTGATGTGAGGGAAAAGGCATAGATATTAAATGACTATGTTGCCTGTGTTCTCTCCAAAGCAGGACAGGGGAGATCTATATGGGGGACCAGATGAGGCCAGGGATTTAGGGGCACAGATTAGAGTCACCCTCCTAGAAGTTGAGGAGTTCCTCAGGGTCCTGGACATTGCAAAGACATCGAGGCCTGATGGGCTACACCTGACAGTACTTAGGGAGTTGGCAGGGGTTCTCTTCCACCTATTGGCCTCCAATTTTGAGGCCTCGTGGAGAACAGGTGAGGTTCCAGGGGACTGAACGGTGGCATCAGAGGTCCCAGTTTTCAAAAACGGAAGTAGAGGGGACATGGGGAATTACAGGCCAGTTAGCCTTACGTCCATTCTGGGAAAGACAAGGGAAAGGCTCATAATAGCGAGAGATCTAGTAACCCTAGATGACACACATCATCCATGGAGCTTTATGGCTGATGGGCATTTGAACTCATTTCTGGAACACCTGCCCTGGAGCAGGGAGAAGGTAGGTCAGGAATGATGGTAGATCTTTTGATTGGTAGGTTGCACTTCAAAACATTTGCAAAGTAGTAGAATACTCCGATTGACCAAACATGCTCTGTTAGTAAAAAGCCAACCAGAGGTGTGAGTGAGCATTTCCCTGTTCATGGGATATGAAAAGAGTCCTTAGGACCAGCTTTCTCAAAGGTGCTAAAGAACATTGCCTGAGGCTATAAGTAGTTGTGAACATGTAACATGTAACAATAATTGAATATAGTGCTTTAGAGCTGAGAGGATAACGGTGTGGGTTTTACAAATCAATTCCAAAAAAGGAGGAATGAGCTCCTGCATAATTATGTCTCATAGTGAGGGATTAAAGTATTCAGAATACACAAAGTTAAACTATCTTAAAATGTAAGTGACTCTGAGAACTTGATGGATAGAAATTTAATAAATAAATTGTTCAGGACCAGTTTAAACCATGTGGCAGGTATGTTTAATAGCAGATACTCCCTTCCTTTGTAAAATGCAAAACAGGTCAGCTTAAATCCAGGAGAACCTTGCTCATATTCTCAGTGGACCATTTAAGTGATTATATAGATTTTCTTTATGTAAGCCCAGGTCTTACATGGACAAAATGTAAAGTTTAAATATGCCTTAACTGCATATTTCTTCTTTAAAGGCAAAGCATGGTGTTCTCCTTGAATCTAAATGGGCTTTAAATGATAATGAGATATTAAGAGTGCCCACACTTACTTATCTTTGAAATTGGTGGTATTTTCCTCATCCAGGTTTGAAGGTGCACCCCAGTTTTTTGTTCATGCACATTTCCACAAAGGCAGTATAAATAAATCTAGAAATTCTGACATACATTCAAAAACGTGTAAAAGACTTGCCATATTGGAATAGTAGACTATTTCCATAGTAGGTCTTGGACTCTCAAGTGATCTAAGGTGATTCTTACTTGAATCAGTGGGTCACCTGGTCACAGCCTTTCCCCACTGTGGGGAGATGGGTTGACTTTCTATTTAAATTTTACTAATTATTTCTAAATGCCCTTCTCTGCAGATATATTGGAATATGTAAGACCCAGCTCCACCCCAAGATCTTCAATCAACAATCATATTGAAAAAGAGCAGACTTGCAGCAGGAAACAAACACAGACATCTCACAGAAGTCCATGGATCAAAGTCCGTTATGAGCCCAAGTTCAAATAAACTCAAATAATCCAATCAGCACTTGGCACATACGTAGAGGTGACGATGAGGCCCCTGTGACTTCATGAGCTTCTTAGTGTCGAAAAAATAAGCTGTTTTTCAGCATTTAAAACTGGCTTTAGCAATATCAGTGCAGGAACTGGTTGTGTTGCTCATATGCAGAGACCAAAGAGTTCAGTCTGGAGGAGTTGTGGTTGAGATAGGAGGACTTACAAAAATCCTGCACAATGGTCCACAAGTAACATGGCAGCGGAGGCTTGGAGCCAAGGCTGCTTTGGATTCCCAGCCTAGAGCTGCCTCCCAGAAAAGTCTCCTTTGGGTTGCAGCAAAATTACTCTCTCTCAACTGCTCTGCACAAGCATTCTTCCTTATTGTCTACATTCAGTGCTCAGATGCATGTTGGAAATTTGCCCGCCATTGGCTTGCATGTGGTCACATTGCATTTTTAAATGTGCCTTGATGAAAAACTCAAGAAAATATTTCACACAAAATAAGATGCAGTTAGAAAGTACATGAGAAGGGAGCGCCAAGGAGGTGTGGCTACCCTTGTTGCTCAATTTCTTTCGCCAGGTGACAGCATCCTTTGGCTGCTAGGTGTAATCTAGATGGGCAGAGGATAATCTACAGTCTCAGGTCCAACATTAGAGAAGCATTCTGAGGACAGAGCCTGTCCTCAGAGCATCCCATTTTCACCTTTGCAACTAATTGTGAAAGCTGTTACATTTTAACAGAAAGCAGAATATGTATGCAATAATAAATACCACATAAATAAGATTTGAAAATTAAAGGAGATAACTGCTCCCTTTGCTCTGAAGAGTCAGTGTCGGGTTTTTAACATCAAGAAGCTGTTCCAGAAGTCTCTGCCACACAATATTTTGTGGTCACTCAGGAAACATTGGCCAAGTTTGTCAGTAATACTGACTGAAGAATGAGAAAACAGACATGATTTTTTCCTTTATGTTGTGTAAGGGCAGCCAGGGGCTTTTCTCTTCAAACCTGGTGACAAAGCCATTGTCCTGCAGGTAAAAAGGCACAAAAAGAAACAACATTTTGTTAGAACTTGTTCTGTAATGACAAAGATGCAATTGGCTAGCTTCCCAATATTGAGAGGGAAAGTTGAACTTAACGATTGTTTTCAGTTTTTCTTTTTAAGCAGAATGTACTTTTAAGCATACATCAGAACTAGAGCAGGTTTTATGCCAGATAAATCATTCAGGAAAGTTTTGTTTGGTGATTGTATTGAGAATCTGGCAGAGAGCCCAACAACTGGACATGCCCATGGCAGGCATGTCATGAGTGGAGCTGGCTGGAGCTGAGTAGATGCCCCAGGAGTTAAAGTGTTGGACTGGGACTTGGGAATATAGACTCCCTTCAGTCAAGATGCTCAATGGATAATTTTGGCCAGTCACAGACTCTTGGCCTTGCTGAAGTGGAAGGAAAAAGAGGAGGGTTAGGTACCGCCTAGAAAGGAAAAAACAGCAGGATAGAAACATAATAACTATGCAGACTCATTTCAGTAAAGCGAAGATTAATTGCATCGCAAGGTGCTTTATACTTATTTAATTTCTATACTGCTCAATAGCCAAAGCTCCCTGGGCAGTGAGCAACAGCAGCAATACAATAAAAATGCAATGTAGAATAAAGCATTGAAACAAGAAATTATATTAAAAAGATAAACCACATTTTTACAGCTAAACAGCTAAAACCAAGCCATACCACTAGGCTTGCTGAAAGAAAACAATAGCTGGGAATCCCACCCCCACCCCCTGCCACTTTATGTGCTGTTTGGAGTTGGTAAATGTCTCAGTAAAGAAGGTGGACTTAACCTGGTGCCAAAAAGAGCAGAGTTGGTGCCAGACCTGCCTTGGTGGAAAGATCATTCCATAATTTGAGAGCTACTTCAGCAAAGGCCTTCCTGCTTGTCGCCGTCAACTGAGCCTCCCTTAGAGGTGGCAGTCAGACAGATGCCACAGATGTTGAGCATAGTGCTGGGTACGTTGTGGTCAGGAGAGATGCTCTGTTGGGTATCGCACTCCCAAGACATGAAGGGCCTTACAAGTTGAGACCAGCACCCTGAATTGGGCTCGGAAGCATATAGACAGCCAAAGTAAGTGGGCCAGAATTGGTCTTCTATGCTTGGACTGTCTGGTCCCTGCTATTAATCAGGCTGACACATTTTGCACAAGCTGCAGCTTCTGAACTGTCTTAAATGGCTTGGGGCCCAGCTATCTGAAGAACCGTCTACACCCATATATACCTTCCTGTCCCCTCAGTGCAGTGCAGGAGGCCCTTCTGCAAAAGCCACTCCTCAGGGAGGGGAGAGGGATGGCAACCAGGCGAAGGGCCTTTTCTGCTGCTGCTCCCCATCTCTGGAACTCCCTCCCTAGGGAAATTCGCCTGGCGCCATTTCTATATTCTTTTCAGCGCCAGGCAAAGACATACTTTTTAAAAAATCACAATAATACAGTGGTACCTCAGGTCACGAACACCTTGGTTCAACACCAAATTGGGTCGTGAACAGAAATTTTAGAAAAAAAATTCCTCAGGTTGCGAACTCTGCCTTGGGTGACGATCATGATCACGATCGCACCTGCCTTCCCTGCACAAGCGCGCCTGCTACTGCCCCCATCTCCCCGCCGAGCATACCCACAATCGCACCCATCTCCCCCCGCCAGCGTACCTGTGATTGTGCCCTCTTCCCTGTGATTAAAAAAATATTTACAAAATGGATTAACTTTATTTACGCTGAACCTTATGGGAAAATTTGACTTTGCTCACGACCAATTTGGGTCGCGACCAGAGTCATGGAAAGGATTAAGTTCATAAGCCAAGGTACCACTGTGCTTAGCCCTGTGAATGCTGGTGGCCTTGTTATATTATTGTTATATTGATGTTTTAATCTTTTAATTGTTTTTAATAGGTTTTAACATGTTATTTATATATACATTTAATATGTTGTTTTAATATATGGTCGCAAGCTGCCTAGGAAGGCCTTTTGGCAGTTATAGGTGTCATATAAATATGTGCAGGCAGGCAGGCAGGCAGGCAGGCAGAAAGAAAGGGTACATACAGCACACTGAAGTATTCTCCTTGAGAGACTGCCGAAGCACCGTTCACTGAAGCAAGGCTCTCTCTCTCCAGACAGGGGAGTAGCCAGGCCACCAAACAGGTAGCTTCTTTGTTTCAAAGGTTTTAAGCCACCCATCAGTAAAACTGTCAGGGTAGCGTACAAAAAGAAAAAAAAAACTTTTAAAAATCTAATCTAAAATATTTTGAAAGTACAATGTGGAAGAGTTATAGAATTTGAAACTGTATTTTACTTTAACAGACTAATTCTAAATGTTAAGGCATTGTAATAATTTATTCGATGCAGAATTTTACTCCTTTTATATTGTAAGCTGCCTTAGAAACACATGATCTTGAACAGTGGCTAAGAAATACATGAACTAAATCACCAAACAAAAACTTGAGAATGAGGAATCAATTGAATCACACAAGCTGCAAAAGTCAACACAGCTTTTTGTAAACATCAGACGACAAGTAGATGCACTTACATTTTCCAGTATTTCCTACAGCTTGCCGTCAAACTCTGAAGCGGCTTTCTCATACCTGGTGCCCCCTAGCTAACTAGACTTCACCCACTCAGCATGGTCAATTGTGTAGAATTCTGGACAAAACACCCAGAAGGCATCAGGCTGGGAAAGTCAGGTCTGAAGGTTTACAGAAACCGATGCGGCATTGAGGATGAAAACTAGTAATGAAAAACTGAGCAGAAATCTTACCCATCCTCCATTTTCATTGATCCACTTAGCTTTGGTGTTTACAATATAGTCTGTAATAAAACAAGAAAGCTGCTCTGTGTTTTCTGCTGTCAAAGGAATTCCATGTTGTTTTAGCTTCTTTGCAAGGATTCCTCCAAACAGGAATATTGTCAAAATCCGTCCCCAGTTGGTGGTTCCATCAGCAAATTCCTCTTCCATCACTTGACTGAAAATTCTGCTAGCATCACTGATGGAGCTGATCTCCAGGGAGTCCAAATAGGGTCTTAGGTTCTCTTCCACTTCTCCCTGAAGTGAAGGCGCAATTTTTCTTAAGACTTGGGCAGCTTCATTGGGAGCTTCTTTGAGCTGCACTTCTGCGCAAACATGTTCCAAGTGATCCTGAATCAAATTGTAAACATAAAGGAAATCGTAGCTTTCCATGGAGAAATGAGCACAGAGGGTAAAAGGCTGGCTTTGACCTCAGTGATGCAGCTAATACTGATCTGTTGCTCATCAAACCGTTCAACTAAAAAGCTTTAACCTTTCTGAAAGTAGTTTCATCATTTGGGGGCTGGTGGAATTTCTTCTACTTTCCATCTCAGTTTCTGCATAAAAATGTTTTAATAATAAAATGCTAGGAACACTTGTATGCAAACTGAGGTGTAAGGGAAAGTTTGTAAAGTAGCAGGGGTGGAAATTACTAGACTTCCTCTAAAATGATTCATTATACGAAGAAAAAACTCCAGCTGACTAAAACCCAGATCAGCTGTGACCTGGCATGAAACCAAATCAAGTGGGTTTATGCATGCTCAGTATCATGTACTGTACAATCCCTGGGCATTTTTCTCAAGCATGGAAGTTCTGCCACCACTTGCTTCCTCTTTCTTTTGTTACTTTCCCAGTGCCAAATAGAGGGTAAGCTCCTCAAGGCAGGGACATGCCCACTTGTGGTCCGTAAAGTTCCCTGCACAATGGTGTAATTAAGTCAAGGCATAAATACACTATCTGTCATAGAATATACATTATGCATCTGCAGGAGTATATAGAAATGTCCTGTTGGAAATATAGAATAAGGATGGAACCCAGTGTCGCATGAGTGGACTTCTGCACAAGCAATGGGACTGTCTCCTCCACCTCTACCACCTAAACATTGTTCTAGAAGGTCCCCAGAGGATTCCAGCCTTCATTTGTCTAGACATCATGGGAGGACTCTGAAATCTTTTCACTATTCCAAAAGGAGTGGAACATCCCCTCCTTTTTACACACATCTTGAGAGCTGTCAGCAGACTGATTTTGACCAATTCTGTCTCCAACCCAGTGACCTGGTTCATACAGCTGATCAACCATTGTAGGCTGTTGACTCATTTGAACCTGGCATGGTTTCTGCAGGGGGTGGAATTTCCTACAGATACACAAACCTGAAAACTTGTGATGCATTGTTGATTTGTTCATACCCATGATGGCTTCTTGTGATGTCCAAACTTGGCAGGGCAATTGTGTCATTGGCTAGACAGCCAACCAAAAGCCCTTATGTTCTAACTCATCCCTTCTCAGTCTCTTCCACCTGAAAAACTTTTCATTCCTGAAGAATCTAGAAGGACATCAGAAAGTGTTCCGAATGTGATTGCCATTTAAACAAACCAACAAACTCAGTCTTGTGCAAATGTGCAAGAGTGAATATCTGCTGCTAGGAAATGTGAGTAATTTCCCCCTCCCTCTGCCTTGAAACTCACAAAATTTCCTTCCCCATTTTACTGTCCTGCCATGATGTGTGTGATTTTCTGGCCGATTTTCCTTGCCATTTGCAGTTGCATCTGTTTAGCAACCCCACTCACTGATCTGCAAGCCTTATCTATAGGTGACTGCTAGCGACACGGGAAGGGCCTCCCATGCTGGAAGTGGCAAGCAGAAAAGGGGCTGGCAGCTATAGGAGAGAAGGGGCTTTAGGCATGGGTGTGCTTACTTCAGTAGAATGTGAAGGTGACTTTTGTTTTTAAGTGCTCCCTAAGGATGTGGAAGGGTGAAATTGAGAAGGTGATTGGCAAGAGGTGGATATCAGTATGCTCGGCTGAATAGCAGGCACATAATCCTGTGCAAGAGAAAAAAACTCCCAAAAACATATATATGATTTTGTAAATGCATTACCACATTCAGAAAGCTCAGAAAACTAATTCCCTGCTTGGGAACTAGCAGCCCTAGTACCCCAATTGCAGAAAGCGTGTGACAAGGGGACCAAGTAAATGAGCCATCTGCTGCAAAGCCATCTGGGATACATGCAGGGAGGGCTATAGGGAATAAGTGGGGGAACAAGACACAGAGTGCCCAATGGTCTCTTGGGTTAGCAGGCAAAAACCAACCCATTATGGTTTGTTCTCAGTGGCTTAGCATGACATGTGAACCCAAAACTGTCTTCAAGGTAACATAGCAAGATTACTTTGGGGCCTTCAGGTAATAAATACTTCTTAATCTCTCCAGTCCATGCAAGTATCTCTTTCCAAAATCTGTGCCTTAAGGTAAGGGCAAGTCCATATGAACTATGCAAAACCAGTAGAAACTTTGCAGCACCATGCAAAAACATAGAAACAGAGTGAGTCAGATGGGATCTCCCAGGGCATCTAGTCTGACCCCTGGCTTCAGCCAGCTCTGCTCATGACATGCCTACCAAGTGCATGTTCAGTCTCTCCTTGAACACCCTCACTGATGGGGCTTCAACCACCTCCCATGGAAGCCCATTCCATAACCTTGGGGTCCTAACTGTCAAGAACTACTTCCTGGCATCCAAACTGAACCCTCCCTGAGTTTTCTGACCTGCCCTCTGCAGGGGAAAACAGGTCTCTATCCACCTCTGTGTGACATCCCCTTACGCACCTATATGTCGCCAACAGTTCCCCTCTGAGTCTCCTCTCCTCCAGGCTGAAAAGACTCAGTTCCCCCAGTCTCGCCTCATATGACTTTTCCTGAAATCTGACCACCAACCTTGTGGCCCTACACTGCAGCGATTCCAACCTGGCTATATTCTTCCTGTAACATGCAGCCTAGAAATGAGCACAATACTCCAGTTGTGGGTGCACCACAGTCATATAGAGTGGCAGTAATACCTCTATGACACACATTCCTATGCCCCAATTGAAAGACCTTACACTTATCCACATTGAACACCATCCTGTTGTCCCCTGCCCACTTCCATAGTCTGTCCAGATCCTTCTGGATCCAAAGTACCTGCTCCTCAGTTGTAGCCACTGCCCCCATTTTAGTATCATTCATGAATTTGATCAGCAGACTGGTCATCCCCTCTTCCAGGTCATTGATGAAAAGATTGAATAGGAATGATCCAAGGACAGAGCCCTGGGGAACCCCGCTTATCACTGACTGCCATCCTGAGGATTCCCCACTAATGGTTGCCCTCTGCTTTTGGTCTGTCAGCCATGCCCTAATCCACCGGACAGTGCAGTCCTTAATTTCCCAACCAGGATATCATGTGGCACTTTGTCAAAAGCCTTGCTGAAATCCAGGTAAACCACATCCACTGTGTCCCCTCCATCTAGCCACCTCAAAACCTTGTCATGGAATTCCACAAGGTTAATCTGGCAGGACCTGTTTTTGCGGAAGCCATCTTGCATGGCCACCAACCTCCCTTCCTTATCTAGGGTGACTAGCTCTCTCACTGTTATGAGCCTCTCCATCGTATTTCCCAAAATGGACATAAGGCTAACTGGCCTGTAATTGTCCAAGTCCCCTCTACTACACTTTTTGAAAATCAGGACCACTGAGGCCACCCTCCAGTACACATGACTCAGTCTATGTGGCATAAAATCCTGCTGAAATGTTGTTTTTGATTATGTATGTAATCAGTTGATTGATTATTTATGTAATCAATTTATATGCTGATACCCTGTTAAAATTTCTCTAATATTGCAGTCCACAGTGGCAGAGCAAAGCGCTTTGAACACACAAGATTTCAATATCCCATGGGGGGCATATGTACCTCTCCTGCCCTGCAAAACATCCTCCTTCCCAGAAAACTTTTGACCTGCTTCTTTCTCTCTCTTACAAAGTTGAAATATACTCCCTATTATATATAATATGGTGATTTATTGTGACAGAAAGCCTCCCTATGTCATGGTAGCAGGATTAGTAAATTTATAGCAGTGCTTCTGCATTTATTTGATAAGCAGGTTGGGTTCTGAGCTGGGAAAGTGTCCAGAAATAACATGAAGGTAGAATTTCCCACTGTTCCTTCTTCAAACAAATCTTTCCACAAAGAGGCAATAACACTGATTAAAAACTTGCTCTCCAGCCCCCGTCTGCTGAGATGCTCTAATTCTTCACAGCTCTGTGCGAAGCTCCCGTTCCCACAGGAAACTGCCATGTGCGTGCACATGAGTTCAGCTGGGGCAAGCTGGCTGGGGCACACCGAGAGAAGTTCCCTTTTACATGTCTGAACTTTCATCCAATTGCACATTCAGCGCACTAAGAGTCACGAGGCACATCGTCCTCCTGAATGAACTCACTGCTCCAGAGTTCCTTTTCACAGGGCTTTATCGTTACACATCCCTATTGCTGCACATTTCTGAGTTCACCCAGAGTGAAGAGTTGAGCCCCCTCTAACAACCTCTCACTCTCCACCCTTTTTCCTCTGCCAGCCCAGAGGTGGGGTGCTGTGATACCTCGCCTGCTGGTGCTCCTCCCATTGCTCCATCGACTGAATCTCCCACCTGTGCTGTCTCCTAGCAACCGGCATCACCTCTGACAGATGGCCCAGCTCCTGGTGCGCACCCTGCCCAGTTCCCAATCCCCCTGTTCCCTCCCCAGTAGATTGGGGCTCCCATCAGCCCCAGCTGTCAACATCACATCTTGCTGTGCTAGCTCCCCATTCCCACGGGCCAGCCAGCGGTCATCTCCACCCACCTGGACTAACCCTCCTTGTTCTTCAGAGGCTTCCTGGCCTTGATCTGACACTGCAGTCTGCTGACATTCCAGAAGCCCTTCATCTTTCAAATCTCCATAATTTCTCAGAGCAATGATCCACAAACAACTCTGCCCATTTCTCAACAGTGTATTTTATGTATATTTTGCATTTTATGCAAATCAGTTTTCCCTTTTGCTCACTTTCTGGGTAATGTCTTTGCTCTTTTTTGGAAATAAGTAAGTGGCCATCCCAGAAAGACAAGCTGCTGCACCCTCTCATTTGACATCAGAAGCCAACCAGATTAGCCTTCACCTTGCCAATGGAACAGCACCCTCCAGTGCACTTAAGGGCCATGGGCTAGCTTAGGGGATGTGAGGCAGACTGCATAGACCATAGACCACCATGGAGCAGTTACCTCAGACTGCCTAATGGTGTGACGTGGTGGTCAAGAAGGCAAACGCCACCCTTGGTTGCATAGCCAGAAGCGTGACTTCTAGATCAAGAAAGGTATTACTATCACTCTACATGACTC